GACTAGCACTTTGTCTATTATAGTGTAGAGGTTAGAAACCACAAGATGTAGAGACTCAGCTATGCCATTTATGCTTCTTAAGTCCTGGAGCAAATTCCATCTACCACTGGGCTGTTTTACAACTCGGAAGTTCACATGCAGGGTAGAGGTGAAGTAAGAAACTGCTTATGAGGTTTTCCATCCATTCCAACAACTAAGAGATAGTGAGAAGAGTTGGGACCTCAAAAGGCTTTTAGGACCAATTAGTAGGCTCTGTGTCCAGGAGAAAATGAATATACTTACCAGTAATGTTAATGCTCACCCACAGCTCTTCTATGAGGATCTAAATAGTTGAAGCGGTGTTGACTATCTTAATAGCTACTCACCATTTTGAGTTCTAGGAACAGATTGAAAGATCTCTTCTTTTTCCTTTCCTTTGCAGGTAAAATTAGTATTTTCAAAAGAACCTTCAAAACCCTTGGCCCCTCGAATTCTACCAAATCCATTGGCAGCTGCAGCTGCTGCGGCAGCTGTGGCAGTGAATTCCCCCTTCAGTCTCCGAACTGCTCCAGCAGCCACGCTGTTCCAGACTTCGGCTCTCCCTCCGGCACTCCTGCGGCCAGCTCCTGGACCCATTCGGACCGCCCACACGCCTGTGCTGTTTGCTCCTTACTGAATTCCAAAAGGGAATACCTGTACTGCAATAATTTTTTTTCCACAAAAGAGAACTATGCAGTGTTTATTTATAGTTTAAAGTATATCTGAAGAGCCAGGACTTTTGATAGCAAATTGAAAAGATTATTATTATTAAAAACAGCATCAACAACAACAACAAACTAGGGTTGGGTGGGGGTGGTATTGTCTCCAAATTAAAGCATTCCTTTTGAACATTGGTTGTTTTAGAAGTGATCTCCAGCATTGACTTGTAGTGGTAACTAGAAGTTCTGAAGCCTTTGTGACCGTGCTTTTGGGCACCTACTTTCCCTTGCATTGTCCTTCCTGCTTTATGAAACAACTATACTTTGTCTAAGGGCATTAACTGGTTCCAATGTATATATAGTAAATCACCCTGTAGATTTCAATAACAAGATAAAAGGAAAAAAAAAAGAAAAACAAAAGCAACACTGTGAATAGTACTACCCATGCTGGTCCACTTGCTATGACAGCAGTTCTTGGGTATTTGTTCCAACAAAAGTAGATACAGTAGATGTCTTGTAAAACAATAGTGCTGTGTCTCAATCTATGCCAATAGGTTTTAAAGGACTGAAAAAGGTAGAATAAATTATTATCTCATGCCAGTTAGAAGTCAACATATACATGCTGGAGGGAGTTGTGGAGGTCTCCTGGTCAGTATTTTCCCCTCCTACCCAGCTGGGACGTGACTGTAAGTTTAGAACAAAAGAAAACTAAGATCTGGGAGAGAGATTCAGAAAGATAATTTTAAAAAGAAAATGCTAGTTTTGCACTTTAAGTATTTTTGGAAATAGAAAAGTGTTCATAATGAACCTCTATCTCAAATCAGATATGTGTTTAGGAAATAATCATTACAACTATATTTTTCATGAATGATGGCTGGTCATGATCTGGAAAGATAGTGCAAAGTCAGTGTCTCTTAAATTAGCACACATCCAAGCAAATCAGAGAACATTGTCCCTCTGCAATATCCCTTTACATCATACCAGTAGGGCGGTCTCTTAGGTGAAGGAGTCGGCTTGGTTATGATGTTAAGTATTAGCTATTGTTTTAGGTTTTTATGATGTTCTAGCTACCCTACTGAGATGATATAAGCAGTGACATATAGTTCAATGTTAGCAACAACAACAAAGAAACCGACATCAGTGCACACCAAGGATATAACATTACACAAAGACTGGGAAGGTCTTTGCGACCACGATTTTCTGGTGGAGTTGTGAACACCGGCAGCCTTCCATTTTCATCATAAGGCTGCAAAGACTTGCTGTTTTACCTTTAAAACGAGATATATCAGGGGTATATATAAATATATGTATATTGTATATATGTTAGAAAGAATAAGAAAATAACTTATAAAAGAGAAAAATCTATATAAAATAATTATATAACCATCCAGTGTTACATGTTATCATGAGATTGGTAACAAATGGCATAACAATAGCTGTGCCTTTAATTTGTGATAAAGGCTATCTGCTTTTCCCAGTAGAAAGCTGAACTCTACCTGTCCATGTGATGATGGGGTCTGATGCAGCCAGTCCGTTGCATTGATAAGAAGAATGGCACTCATGTTTAGAAAAAGGACAAAACATGTACAAATCAACTCTACATGATTTAGGTTTAGAGAAAAAAAATATTTTTTGAAAGGTTTTCTAAAGAGTATTTAAAAATATAGGGAAGACCTGGGTGTGGCCTTCCATTAGCTACTCATATCTCCGCTGTTAAATAACCTTTAGAGGAGAACAAAGGTTCCAGATAAAAACCATGCTTTTGAGAGATTGGTGGTTAGCATTTGTCATTTTATATTTAAGAAACACCCACAGTGTGCTTGGTGCTCAACATTAAACATGGTCTTTGGAGTTCTTCTCCACCATCCAGCTGTACACATGTCATAAAAACATGTCTTTGAAGCTTTTGGAGAGATATATGTGTGGGCATATATATGTATGTGTATGTGTGCATGTATATATATACATACACACACACACAAACTCATGTATGTGTGTATACATATACACATGTGAGTGTGTGTATATATACACACACACAAATATATATATGTGTTAAGCAAACAAAAAGAAAACTTATTCCATGAATCGTAAACTTAATTCAGTGTTGGAATTTTATAAGTATCCAGTGATTTTTGCATTTATCACTAACTCTCCCCTTTGATTTTAGCATTTTATTGGGTGTTTTTTAAAGGACTCCTGGTGGCATAGAAGTTTAACTGTTGGACTGCTTACTCTAAAAGTTGACAGTTGAAACCCATCATCTGTGGGAGAAAGAGAAAGCGCTTTCTCCCATTAAAAGTTACAGCCTTGGAAATCAGATCTGGGCTTCCTGTGAGTAGGAGTAGAAGTGGGCTTTTCAGGAGGTTCCTTTTCACCTCAAGAGACAGTAATCATTCAGTTGGGTGGATTATAATCATTCAGTTGGGTGGATTATTTTTTTAAGGTTGCTATCTGGTACCCTGACTCTACCCATGTGACCACTTTCTATTTGGAAACTAGGTTGGGTATTTTTGTGTTTTAAATTTCCCTTCAATGTTTGTTTTTTCACTATATCAGCCTGAATCCTTATCTAGGAATGTTACCCCTGATATAAACCACCTTTATTTCTCTTTTTTAATTGTAAAACTTCGTGTTGACTGATGCAATATCTTACTCTGACGTGCATTTCACTGTTCTTCCCCCTAAATCGCCAAAGTGAACGAGCCCGTCCAGTAGAAGTCAAGGCCTATGGAGCACAAAGTCCTGGAACACAAGGCACTACTCAGCTTAGCATTTTGCTGGGAATAAACGAATCAGCCATATTTTCTCCATCAGCCATAATGAGAAAACTCAGATATAACTGGATCCCTTTTGCCTCACTTCGCTGTGGAACCATTTTTGTTCGTATGGTCTCTCTCAAATTGGAATTGTAAGCATCACTTGTCTTTTACTCACTACCTAATAAAGGATGAAGCCTAACCATACAATTACAGTGGATTCTCTGAGTTGTTTCTGCACACTCCACATAGTCACCAGCACCAGATCAGCATCCTCTTTATAGCTCAGACTTCTGTCAAGCTCTTTCTCCATAAGCAGTGGGTTTTCATGGACAAAGATCAGGACTTGAGACTGGCGAGCAGTGGTGGTATGAATATCCCCTAAGTGTGGTCAGGTTTTATGGGCTACACCTCTTCCCATGCATCACACCCATGGCAAGGAAAGTGATAGAGAAAGAGCTTCTGATTTCATTTGGAACAAATATAAATGCATTGCGAGGGCCAAATGTCTCTGGAAAATGCATTGTTGCACCTCATCCAGATCTATCAGACAAATGAGAAACAAAACCGGAGGAGACACTGTATTGCTATCTCAAGAAAACAAGTGATTAGGCATGACAAATTCCTCCTTTCACTGGTTGGAAACTTTGAAGAGGATTGGTTTGACTCACCTAAGCAAACACAGTCGGGCTTTCATAGTTTATATCAACTCCAGAAAGACTGACATCGGTTGGTACCATATTAGCTTGACCCTCATCAATTGCAATCATTCACTCTTGTCATTTGAGATGTGTTATATGATTGGCTGCCAAGGCATTTTTAAATAAGTCAGGAAAATATATGCTTTGACTTTTAAAAGAGCAGGAAAGTATAGAATCAAGTATAAAGTGTTAAAAAACAAAGTTTTTAAATAATACCAGATAAAAACCACAATTGAGTAGATTTAGAAGTTACGGTGGAATACTACGCAGCATGCAGGGGCAGTGATTTTGAAAATTACTACCTAACTTGGAAGGGACTGGAAAGCATCATGCTAAGTGGACTCAGTCCCACAAGGAAAAATAGTGTATAAGACCATTGTTGTAGAAATAACTAGTCAATCGTATATGCGGATCTAAAGGGGCTGGGGAGCATAGGAACAGAGGTTAGGGTGGGCAGGGAGGTAATCATAGGGTCACACAATTTTTGGAGGGTTTAGAGAGAAGATCTGGTGTTAAAATCAATGTATACAAACTTTGTAGGTAAACCAGTATAAATATTTTTTTTTTAATTCACAGATTTTTCTCAACTCTCATAAGAAGATAGAAAAGTAAAAGGTAGCTCAAGTGATTTAGAGGCTTCTGATTTCCAGTTGGAATTGATTTCTACAAGCACATTTCTGTATAGAAGCATGTTGGTAGGTACTGTCTAGTCATAGATGACTCATAGCAACCCTATGAACGAAACACCTGAGCACTTGTATAACTTTCATCATTTCTTCAGGTTCATAGGGTTTCCGGAGGCAAGCTCTTTTGGAAATGGATGCCACTCCTGCTTCCAAGTTTATTTTAATTGAGAAACTCCACCAAACACTGTCCCCCATGGGTAACCATTATCACATTTGACACATCAGTATCTCAGTGTTCAGCTTCACAGCCACCACAAGTTACCTCTGTACAACAAATGGGCCCACCAATGCTGAAAAGAAAGTTTGACCAAAATATAAAAGCATAGTTTTCATAAATGCATACTACAAAACCAGTGATCCTGAAAGGAACTGAATTCTGGTGGTGTCTTTTTCCCTGTTTTCTTTGTCTCTAACCGGAAGGGTGGTCATGGTGGTTCTGCATCGTTAAGTTGGAACTGAGTCATAGCTCACCCCTCAGAGGAGCTCTGGTGGCCTAGTGCCAAGAAGCTGTGCTGCAATCCCAAAGGCACGTGGTTCCAGGCCACCAGCTGCTCCATGGGAAAAGGAGAGGCAATCTCCTTCTGTGTGATTAACTGCTTCTGAAAACCCACCAGGCGATGAGCTCTGGGTTGGTTCTGACTCTACAATAAACAACAATAGCAACAAATCACACGTGTGGAAATTGTCCATCTTTCACCACGGGGTACCTGGTGGATTTGAAACACTCTCCTTTAGGTTATTGAACAGCGCAGCTCCCTGCTACTGGGTCACAAAGGGCCATTTCATAGTTGACTTAGGCCTGGTCTTGAACTTCTTCATCAGCAAAATGAGTTCAGAGAAAAGAAAGTCGAGTAATACTTCAGCACCAAAGGTGTACAG